TCTCCATTTTACAGATGAGGAAACTGAGGCAAACAAAGATTAAGTGACTTGCCCAGGGTCAATACATAAAATGTTATTATACAACATTAATATTTTATGGTAACACACTATCAATGGCATTAATATAATATGAGAATATAATAAAAACACATTGTTTCTAATCCTAATATTCTTCTGGTGACATATGACCAATGCAATATCAGAAACATCAAACCTTCTGCTGATCCCAAGGGCAACGGGAGCTGCCTTCCCCTCCCTCCAACAATGGCCACAACAATGACGTGTAACACAAATAGCCTAAAAGCCATTGGTGGGGAGATTACTATATGACTGCAAAAGAAAGTGAGCCAGTGGCATGACCTGAGTAAAGAAAGGTTAACAGGAACGCCCACTGAATGTCGGAGGGTCTCCAGGTTATTGGACAGCTACGCTGACTAAAGCTGGAGTGAGAGCCCAGGGATGCTGGGCAAATTCCCACTCTACCATAGGGATGGCACCAATGATGGCGCCTGTGTAAGCCAAGGCTGCAGGGCTGGGCCAAGAACACCAAAGAAGTGAGGTTTTTACCTGTCCCCAGACGAGTTCCCCGATACCAATGAATAGGCACCAGAGCCATTGTTCGATGGTCAAAGGTGCACAGCTGAAGGGCTTCCCACCAAATTGTACAATCACAATCTGGAAGAGAAAAAGGGGGCCTAAGCCAGAGGTTTGGATGGCAGGGGTGGCCACACTGTTCCTGTCTTCTTACCCCATCTCCAGCCTCCTCCTGACTTCCATGGGAATTCCACTGACCCACAGGGTCTTAGAAAGAACTTGCTGGGGGACCCTGAACTTTTGTTTTCCTTCAATTGGATCTCAGTTTCCCCACATGTAAAACGAAGGGGTTGAACTACATAATTTTAAAGGTCCCTTCCAGCTTCAACTTTGATTCTAAGTTCCATCTTCTTCAGGAAGCCCACCCTAATGCCCCCTATTGCTCACTGGAGGTATGTGGGTAATGAGGTGGGGGAGGAGGGAAAGTGGAGAAGGGTAGGGCCTGTCTCTCCAGCAAGATAGGAACTCCCCAGAAACTGGATTCACCCCTCTTCTGCTCCCTGGTATCAGTAAGCTCAGGGCCAGGTATTGTAGTCATTCCAATGGCTGCCATTGATTTGATATCTCAGGATACAATTGGGAGTTGGCCAAATACATCTCAAGCATTCTGCCTCCATTTCTGTTCCACGTTCTGCTGCCTGGCCCTTTCCTTCCTCCTTTTCCCCCTGCACCCCCCTCCACCCAGGCCTAGCTCCCTATGGAGGACCTTATCATCACCTTGTCCCATTCCCATCAAACCTTACTTGGATGTCAAGATCTTTGCATTATAACATACGCTTTGGGCAGATAAATGCTTTTCCCAAAGGGGCAACTCTTAAGGGTGGCGGATTTCAGGAGCTGTGGGCAGACTACCGATGGTGGTGGGGAAGGTAGCTATCTAGCTGGCTCGTGTATAGGACCAACCCTGCCTTGGGCTAACCAATTCCTTAAACCAGGGATTCTTAATGTGTGTGTATATGTGTGTGTGTGTGTGTATGTCTGAGAGAGAGAGACAGAGACAGAGAGAAAGAGAGAGAAAGAGACAGAGAAAGAGAGAGAGAGAGAGACATACAGAGAGAGAGAGAGAGAGAGAGACCCCTTTGGAAATCTGGTGAAACCTATTTACTCCTCCAAAATTGTTTTTTAAAAATGCATAACATAAGATAGATACTATTACAAAGGAAATAATTTATATTGAAATAGTATTATCAAAACGTTAAAAAAAAAGTTCACTGACTCCAGGTAAAGAACCTTTGCCCTAAACGATCTGGAGGAAGAAAGCAAAGGAGCCAGTGTGATGAAGCTGTTAACAGGTGGTCAGTTCTCTCTACAGGACACAGCATTTACAGAAAATCTCTGAAGGGTTGAAGTTTCATCTTGGGTTCGGCCTTTTGACTGAGTCCAAGTTTTATAGAACAAATCCTTTAACGAATGGGATTTGTTCTGTGCAGTTTGGATTTAGTCAAAGGGCTGCACTTGAGGACCTAGAGGGCCACAGGTGGCCCCTCGAGGCCGAACGTTCCCCACCCCTAGAAGGAAGGGGAGGGATCCCTGTTGGTCTGAGAGACAGATGGGATAAAAAGATGACCACTCCCTTTAGGCGCCCCATTTTCTATTGCCTAACAAAGCCCTATCCTTGGCTTCTGTGTCCACATACTTAGCGGTTTCTACCCACCAAAGTTAAGGATGTATTTAGCAGGACAGGGTGTGAACACCACCTGCCACAGGGTTCCAGGAATGCACTGCTTCTAAAAGTGATGGATGGTCACTTGTAACTGGTAATTGGAGAAAGCATCCCAGAGAAAGTGGCAAGGGCCTCACTGTTTGGCAACAAGCCAGAGGTATTCTAGGGTTTGTTTGCTGAGTGGGAATGAGGCTGACCATAGGTACTAATGGCCTCTTCTGTTTTACTGGCTCCCACTCTCTGGTGTTCTCTCTCTATACTCAGGGAGCCAGTACTCCCATAGCTTTGACTTAAGAGGTTGGGGTTGGTGATGCTGGTTTGGTTTTTGTGGTGCCAGGACTCTCAGGTGCCTGGGCTGTACCTACCAGTCACTTGTGAGCTCAAGCCTGGACTTTTTCCTGGGAAATTTGGGGGGGGGCAGAGGGAAAAGAAGAAGCTTTTCTTCTGAAAAAATAAATGCTAAATTTGGGGAATTTCAAAGAAGTACCGAGTAAGAGATACCTGTGGAACAGCACAATGTTTTTGGAAAGTCTGAGTTTGGGAAATACCTGGCCAGTGAGCTTAGGGCCATGTTTGAATTCCTTCTGCCCAACAAAGAACCACTTGATGAAACCGTACCCCACCTAGTGCTGGCAGTGAGAGGAGGCCCTGTGGCAGGGGTGGTCTTACCAGGCTGTTTAAGCAGCCCTTTCCTCAGAGCTCAGTCCTATGGTCCCTCTCTTCTTCCCCTCCCCCCCCTCCAACTTTGTAGTGACTTGGGCTCAGTAACTTGCTTCCCTTGTCCCCTCTCCCATGTAAGGAAAAGTGAAGATTTAATGTCTTTTTTTCAAGTCAGATTGAAAGCCAAGAGTCATGACCACTCCACTGACCTTCCCAAACAGACTACTCAGCCTTCTCCACTGATCTGGACAATTGGACAAACATTAAACTGGAGTCCCTGGGCCAGCCTTACTAAGAGGCTCAGTGAGTTGCCCACTCTGGCATCTGGGAAAGTCTGCTGCTGATTAGGGAAATCACTGTTGTACCTAACGCCCCCTGGGCTTAAAGTTTATTCAAATGCAAATACCTTTGGGCAGGGGAAACCTACTGAGTCACCCACTATCCACAATTAAAGGTTACCAGAGGATCTGCTTCTGAGGTGAAAGCAGATGGGGATCTTGGGGCTTAAGAGGCTGAGCACTCCTCACCTGGGCAAAAGTGATAATGGTGGTGGCCTAAGGTTGAAGGGGAGGTGGGAGGACCAGAAAATACTCCTTCCCAGTTTTGCCTCATGCTGGTCCATCTTCTAGGTTAACCTTTCCTTTTCTCTTCTCATAAAGGCCTCCCTTTATGAATTGTTTCCTCCCTTCCGAGCTAGAAGATTGTAAGGGTTAACCTAGAAGATGAGATTGTCTTGCTTACTTCCATGTGTACCCCCAGTTCTTAATACTGTGCTTGGCACATCCATAAGTACTTAATAAGTGATTTTGGATTCCTTCATTATCTTCAGTCTCTAGTCTTTTTCATTTGTTAGAAGGGGAAATGGCAACCTAGAGTCAGTACTTGCCCAAGGTCACATGGCAAGTAGGTGGCAAGATTGGCCTAGATTCTCTTACTTGAATGCCAAAGGTGCCCAGGACAATGGAACAAAAGATGGGATTGCTGAAAATGCCTTCGAAGACATTCCTCTCGCCATGGATCTTACGGGCATTGATTTCATTACAAAGTTGCATGAGAACGAAAGTATTGAAGATGATGGTGTAGTGCTCTGAGGGCGGAGAGTGCAGAGGGGCATTCCGGCCACTGTCAATGTCAAACATGACCTCACCTAGAATGGAGAGGAAGAGAAGAGAGGGAGAAGGGAGGTGGTGAATGGGCAGCTCCCAGCAGACCCCAGCAGGGGTGGAGGCAACATTAGGCAGAGAGGGAAGAGAGGTAAAAGAGCATGCATGCCCTGTTCAGTCTCACTTTTCCCCATTTTCTCCCACTGTGAAGTTGCTCAGACCAGCCACAAGCCCTTGTTTGGGTCTAGAGATGGAGGGGCTGCCAACTTCACAGGGTTCACACAAACTCCTAGCACAGTGATGGGGATAATCCGTTGAGGATTTTGATTGAGAAACTTGACCCAGCTCCTGAGGCCCAAATCATAGGTTCTGGTCCTGATCTACCAATAAATTAGGACCCAGTATTTCGATTCATTCCCATCTACACTTGTAGTGATTATCAATAACAACTCACCTTTCCATTAGCACTTTCTTTACAAAAACTCAATAAAGTAAATAGCGCAATGATTATTATTCCCATTTTAGAGATGAGAAAACTGAGGCTCAGAAAAGGGAAATGACTTACTCAAGGTCAATAACTATTATCTTACTGCTCCAAACTGATGGGGACAGGATGGAGGGAGTGAAGCCAATTAGAATGAGTGAAAAGTCTGACTTGGAAGAAGTGTCATTTTTGCTACTTTCAAAGTAATGCAATGATCACTTTTGGGTAATACCTTTAAATAATGTAAAGCATTATGTTACAATGGTTTAGAGTATTGGCTCTAATGTCAGAGGGCCTCAGAATCCTGGCTCTGCTTCTTCCTAGGCCTATGACCTTGGACAAGTCCTTTTCTCTCCCTGAGCCTTGGTTTTCTTCTCTGTGAAATGAAGGGAGTTGCATTAGCTATCCTGCCAGCTCTGCATTCTAAACCTCTGATCCGATGACCCTAAGTTTTATCAGGTTAACAGACTGTAGCCTACTTTACTGAATGGCTCAGAATTTGACATCAGGCAAGAATTAGCATCAATCATAAAAAAAGCAAGTAAACATGAATATAAATATATAATATTTCTATAGAGATAAATATAATACAAACATAAAAAAGCACATAGATGGGGGTCAAAAAAAAGGATACTTGAAATGAATTTGTTCTTCCAGGTCGTTGAAACAGTCCGTTTGCCCTATTCCCAATTCGGTATTGTTCTTTTAATCCCCAATCTGGTTGACCTGTTGGATCTGTTTCCTTAGCAGGCTCTACCTAGCTGGAATGGAGTGAGCAGAGGTGCCCATTAGCAGCCAGGCCCCTGATGTAACGATCACAGCCTTGGAGTTGGCAGAGACAAATGCCTGAAGTCTGACAGCCCTGAATTACCTCTGGATGATCCCATGGTAGTGCCTATGCAATGACGCAACATGGCATCACCAGAAAAGAATGCCACCTCAGTCTAAAATGTCATAGGCCTGTGCTGGGGGTTAAGGACAATTCCAGGGAACCCTCCTGGGGAAGGGGAGATGGAGCTGAGAGAGAAGAGAGGAGGCCCTGCTGGGTCAGGTCCAAATTCACCTGGAACGCTCAGTCTAACAGGTGAGGCAAGGGGTGGAAGCTGGGATGTATAATGTTGGAGAAGTTGGCACTGAGTCTGGGGACATCCGCAGTGGGGAGCAGCAGGTGGTCTGTCTGATGCTCCTTCCTGGCCTCCGGCAAACTCAGTGAATTGAATGTTCCTTGAGAACTTTGGCATGTCCCATCCAGTCATCAATTTTGTCTTTCTGATAATATCTAGGATTGAACACCTTTTCTGTGGTAGGGGTGGTGGGAATGAGGGTGCTGGTGGTGCTAGGGGTGGGAGTGGGGTGGTGGTGGTAGGAGGTAGGGGTGCTGGGAGTGCTGGTGGGGGGTGGGAATAAGGTGGTGGTGGGGGGGTGGGAGTGGGGGTTCTGGTGATGCGAATTCCCTCAGATCCTGTCTCTGTGTGTTTGCCTAGGCAGTCCCCTGTTCCTGGAATGCACTCCCCTCCTCCCTCTCTCTCTCCCAGGCTTCCTCTTCAGCTCATACATGGGACCTTTCCTGATCCCTGCAGCTGTTGGCACTCTGCTCACGTTCCCCACAAAATGACTCTGTATTTACTTCTCTGTTTGTCTCTTGTTTCCTTCACATAGAAAATAAGCTCCTTGAGGGGAGGGCCAGTTTCACTTTTGCCTGGGTATCCCTGGCAATCCCCCTGCATGGGTAACCCTGTGCTAGGCACAGTACCAGGTCTGGCAGAGAGGAAGAGTTCAATCAATGAACCGAACCGAACTGAACTGGATGAATAAAAACACCCCCTAACCAAGGACAGAGTCAGGGACTGGCAGCTTGGATTTTTTCAGTGAGAAGAAGGGGGATGGGAGAGAGGAGGCGGAAGCAGATGAGCTGACCATATGTGTCAGCAAGGATCAGGGACAGAGTCATATGCTCCTGACCCTCCCCCTTCTCCTTTTTCTCCTCTTGGATCCCGATCCCTCCCCTCCTCCCCCTTCATTTCTTTCCTCTTCATGGTCAGATTATATCTCAGGACAATAGCTTGTCAACTCCTGGGCCAAGATTGCTTACCTCTTCAAGGAGGAGAATACTAGCTAATATTTGAGGTTTTCATAAGATTGACCCTTATAACAACCCTGTGAGGGAGGTGCCCTTATTATTCTCATTTTACAGTTGAGGAAACTGAGGCAAACAGAGGTTAAGTGACTTGCCCAGGGTCACACAGTTACTAAAGCATCTGAGGCAGGATTTGAACTCAGGTCTTCCCGACTCCAAGTCTTGAGCTCTATCCATTGTGCCACCTAGCTGCCCAGGTGAGGCCTTTCTTGATTCCCTCTAGTGAAGGGTTGCACGTCTGTTCCCAGATGAGGAAAATCCCTCCACCCGTGTATGCACCGTCTCTGCGACATATAGTCTCAGGGAGTTGCCTCAGGTACTAAGAAGTTAAGAGACTTGTCCAAGGCTAGGATATTTCAGAGGCTCTACCCAATATACTGGGTTCTGGCTTTTCTCTCTCTCTGTCTTTGTCTCTGTCTGTCTGTCTCTGTCTATCTCTAGCTATATCTTAGATATCAGACCTTTATCAGAAAAATTTGCAACAAAGTTCTTCCCCCTCCCCTGTTTGCTTTCTAGCTGCATTGATTTTGTTTGCACAAAAGCAATTTTACATAACCCAAATTGTTCATTTTGTTTTCAACGACCACCTCTAGCTTCTATTTGGTCAAGCATGGCAGCCCGGTGGAGTGGACAGAAAGTTGGATTTGGAGTATCAGAGGATCTGGGTTCAAAATCTGATCTGGCCACCTGACCTTGGGAAAGTCACCTCACCTGGATGGGACCCAATTTGCTCGACTTTAAAATGAAGAGATTTGACTAGCTGGTCCCTTCCAGCTCTAGACAGACCCATGCCCCTCTAGCCATAACTCTGTAAAGTATCTCCTTCCCTGACTCAAACTTGTTTAGAATGTGACCTTTTCTGTTTAGGTCTCTGTGCAAACCTGAAACCCATTTGGACTTTATTCCTGCTGAGCTAGGCCAATCACCCGTCTTCCGTATGTTTAGATACGGCAGCCCCTGGGAGTTTAGAGGGTTGAGCTGTAGTGCACAGATCAAGGCTAACATGTGAGCACAAGCCTGGCTGGCAGCAGGAAGGGCATTGGGCGAACAGGCTTTCGCTGGCAGAAGCAGCCTACCCGCAAACAGCAGGGTGAAGATGACTGTGAGCTGATAGATGGCATGGCCCAGAATATTCTTCATCATTGTACGGGAGATGAGGGGCTTGTCTCGACCATATGGCTTTCGCAGGAGGAGGGACTCAGTGGGTGGTTCTGTTGCCAGTGCCAGCGAAGCGAACGTGTCCATGATGAGATTCACCCACAGCATCTGGACTGCTTTGAGAGGGGAGTCCTGTGGGCAGAAAGGATGAGAAGGAAGAAGTTAGCTCCTGGGGAGCAAGGCACCAACTAGGCCTTTCAGAGACATTCATCAGAAGCAGTGCCGACAATTACCTTACAGAAATACTTCCCTACTGAGCAGGTGGGAGTTTTGATCTTTGTAAAAAGAAAAAAAAAAGCCACCCAGTTTGGGCTCAATTTTATTGGCATTTTGTTCAAATGAAAACATGTGACAGCTCTTTTGAGCAAGTGTGATCGTGATATTCCCCACTGCTTGTGTTACCGCTTTGAGGTTTGGCACGGTGCTTAGCTAAACTTTTAGGATGTGTGTGTGTGTGTATGTGTATGTGTGTGTGTGTGTGTGTGTTCACGCGAGCGTGTGTGCACTGAAGTGTGTGTGCACCTGCACCTCTTCACCAGGTTGTGGCAGCAGCCCTAGGGCCGTTATCCCCTACTTTCTTGGCCTCCTCAGCAACTTTCTCACTAGTGTCCCTACTTTCTGTCTTTCCCTTCCTCCTTCAATAGCGATTGTTTCTATTCTGGCCAGAAACTCTGAGGGTCTTCCCCTCCCCTTCCCTTTGGGAAGCCGAACTAGGCTGTTCTTTGCCTCACTTCTTACCTAGCCTTTAATCACTGAATGGGTGTTGCCTCAGACAAACTGAGACCTAGGAAAGACCTTACTTAAAAAGTCCAAGGTCTCCCACTTGCACCCAAGATCATCACCAGTTGTCCTGATCTATATCTTGCCACTGGATTCTAATGACTCTGGAGGAGAGAGCTTGAGGCTGGTGACTTTGCACATCTCTGCCTCACTTAAATCCAATTCACTCATTGGATACTCTTCAAGAACAAAGAACGATCAACAACGACATTTCTCAGAGACTCCTCTGGAGTTTCCTCCTGCAAAATGAGGTGCTTGGACTCAATGGCCTCTAAGGTCCCTTCCAGCTCTACATTTAGGACCCTATGATCCACCCTGATCACATGATTATAGTCTAGAATCAATGGAAGAGATATTGGAGGTCAATGCCGAAGCCCGTCCTGCTGATCTGGGTTGAGAGCCCCAGTCTTTTTTTTTTTTTTAGCTAGGCAATGGGGTTATAAGTGACTTGCCCAGGGTCACACAGCTTGTAAGTATTATGTGTTTGAGGCCCGATTTGAACTCAGGTCCTCCTGAATCCAGGGCCAGTGCTCTACCCACTGCGCCACCTAGCTGCCCCTGAGAGCCCCAGTCCTCAGCCTCTAAGTCCAGCGCCCCTTCCTCTGCCCCACATGGCTTCTAATCCACATCGACCCCTGTTTAGCATGCCTTCTCCCCATGCTCAAGGTCCATTAAATTCCAGAGCTCTGTAAGGCAATTCAGGCACTTATTCCATAGTCGGTGCCTGGTAATGGTGCTCAATGACCCATCTGTGAATGATGATCATGGTGGTATGAGGCTCCCCACAGTCTGACCCTGGCTAACCTCTCCAGCCTTAACCCTGGCCCTCCTCTGGTCTCCAGCTCATCATATCCCCCTCCTCCTTTCCTCTTCTCCAAATTCTTCTCATTTGTACTTAAAGATCCAGGTCAAGCCCCACCTCCCCTAATGACTGCAGCCTTCTGAACTGAGTGGGTCCTGGGATTCTACCAGAGAGCTTCTCCCTTTGCTCACCTGATGGCCACAATCTGAGGGATGAGGGAGACAAATGTTTTTCACATGGATTTCAAAAGTCTAAGTAAGAATGAGTTCAAACCTCCAAACCTTGGTAAAGGTGATGAAGGAGGTCACAACTGGGAAAAAGGAGTGATTCAGACCTGGTGGTTTTGTGGAACACTTTAGCTTGGTTATTGTTGGTTTGGGGGTGGGTTTTTTTGGTACAAGGGAGGGTTCATTAGAGAAGGGGGGTGGCATCAGGGATTGGGAAATGATTTCAGTGTTAAAAATAAAGGGCATTGGTACCACTTACGATTGTTTTGTGTGTGTGTGTATGTGTGTGTGTGTGTGTAAGAATTGCTGCTCTACTGATGAAAAATGAATTCATTCTGTTATCACCACCCCCAGTCTAAAACACAGGTGCTACTATTAATGATGATGGTATCATGAAAGTGTTTTTTAAAAAAAAATATTTAGTATTTTATCTTTCCCTAGTTATTTGTAAAAACAATTTTTAACATTCATTTTTAAAATTTTGAGTTCCAAATTCTCTCCCTTCCTCCCTCCCCAACCCCCTCATTGAGAAGGCAAGCAATTTGATATAGGTTATACATGTGCCATCATGCAAAACATATTTCCATATTTGTCATGTTGTGAAAGAAAACATAAACCAAAAAAAAACCAAGAAAAATAAAGTAAAAAATAGTATGCTTCAGTCTGTATGCAGACACCATCAGTTCTTTGGGGATGTATAGCATTTTTCATCGTTAAGTCCTTCAGAGTTGTCTTAGATCATTGTGTTGCTGAGGATAGCTAAGTGATTCACAGTTGATCATCTTACAGTATTGCTGTTACTCTGTACATAGCACATTTCACTTGGCATTAGCTCATGTCTTTCCAGGTTTTTCTGAGAGCATCCTGCTCATCATTTCTTATAGTACACTAGTATTCCATCATAATCACATAGCACAATTTGTTCAGCCATTCCTCAATTGATGGGCATCCCCTCAGTTTCCAATTTTGTGCCATCAGAAAAGAGCTGCTATAAATATTTTTTGTATATATAGGTCCTTTTCCTTTTCGTTTTTTTTCTCCCTTTTTGGATACAGACCTAGTAATGTCACTACTAGGTCAAAGGGTATGCATGGTTCTATAGCCCTTTGGGCACAATTTCAAATTGCTCTACAGAATGGTTGAATCAGTTCACAACTCCACAAACAGTGCATTAATGTCTCGTTTTTCCCAATCCCCTCCAACATTTGTCATTCTCCTTTTCTGTCCTATTAGCTAATCTAATAGGTATGAGGTAGTATCTCAGAACTGTTTTAATTTGCATTTCTCCAAGTAATAGTGAGTCAGAGTATTTTTTTCATATGCTATAGATAGCTTTGATTACTTCATCTGAAAACTGTTCATATCTCTTGATCATTTATCAATTGGGGAATAGCTTCTATTTTTATAAATTTGACTCAGTTCTCTATATGTTTGAGAAATGAGGCCTTTATCAGAGAAACTTGCTTCAAAATTTTTTTCACAGTTACTACTGGTAACTGTATTTACCTCCATCCTATCCCCGCCATTTATTCTATTCTCTTTCCTTTCACCCTATCCCTCCTCAAAAGTGTTTTGCCTCTGACTACCCCCTCCCCCAAACTGCTCTCTATTCTATCACCCTCCCCTTCTTTTACTCCCTTTCCCCTCCTACTTTCCTGTAGGATAAGATAGATTTCTATACCCAATTGAGTGTGTATGTTATTCTCTCTTTGAGCCAATTTTGATGAGAATAAGTTTCACTCACTCCCCCTCACCTCTCCCATCTTTCCCTCCACTGTAAAAGTTTTTTCTTGCCTCTTTTATGTGAGACAATTTGCCCCATTTTACCCACCCCTTTCCCTTTATCCCAGTACATTCCTCTCTCACCCCTTAATTTTAGTTTTTCAGATATCATTGTTTCATATTCAACTCACACCTATGCCTTCTGTCTATATATACTTCTAACTGCCCTAATAATAAGAGAGTTTTTAATGAGTTACAAGTATTATCTTCTCATAGGAAGTATCAGTTACAAGTTATAAATTAACTGAAGTAATCAGCCCATACTATTTACTCCCTTTCTCTTGTGAATTCATTTGCTTCTCCTCTTCACCAACTCTGGGAGACTATGAGGGATCCTACCACTTTTTTATCTGCATATAGTACTTTCATGGGAGGTCGGGCCAAGATGGTGGAGAAAAGGCAGTGACTTGCCTGAGTTCTCCCCAAAACACCTTTAAATAATGCCATAGTTACAAATATCATCTTCCCATCATTCCATAGGAATGTAAACAGTTTAACCTTATTAAGTCTCTTATGATTTCCCTTTCCTGTTTACCTTTTTATGTTTCTCCTGAGTTTTGTATGTGAAAATCAAAATTTCTATTCAGCTCTGGTTCAACATGAATGCTTGAAAGTCCTTCATCTCACTGAATGTCCATTTTTCCCCCTGAAGGATTATACTCAGTTTTGCTGGGTAGTTGATTCTTGGTTATAATCCTAACTTCTTTGCCCTCTGGAATGTCATATTCCAAGCCCTCCGATCCTTTAACGTAGAAGCTGCCAAATCTTGTGTTATCCTGACTGTGGCTCCACCATATTTAAATTGTTTCTTTCTGGCTGCTTACAATATTTTCTCCTTGACCTGGGAACTCTGGAATTTGGCTATAATATTCCTGGCAGTTTTCATTTGCGATCTCTTTCAGGAGGTGATCAGTGGATTCTTTCAATTTCTATTTTACCCTCTACTTTCTAGAATACCAGGGCAGTTTTCCTTGATAATTTCTTGAAAGATGATGTCTAGGCTCTTTTTTTTTTATCATGGCTTAAGGTAGTCCAATAATTTTTAAATTATCTCTCCTGGGTCTATTTTCCAGGTTTGTTGCTTTTCCAATGAGATATTTCATGTTGTCTTCTATTTTTTCATTCTTTCGATTTTGTTTTATTGTTTCTTGATTTCTCATAAAGTCATTAGCTTCTACTTGTTCAATTCTAATTTTTAAAGAATTATTTTCTTCAGTGAGCTTTTGTATTTCATTTTTTCCATTTGGCTAATTCTGCTTTTCAAAGGCATTCTTCTCCTCACTGGCTTTTTGTACCTCTTTTATCATTTGGCCAATTTTTTAAAGGTATTATTTTCTTCAGTATTTTTTGTGTCTCCTTTATCAAGCTGTTGACTCTTTTTAAAATGATTTTCTTGCATCACTCTCATTTCTCTTCCCATTTTTTCTTCTACCTT